GACAGACACCAACAAGTTGCATCTTCGTCTTGTTCCGCTTCGTTTCGTTTTCCTTTCTTGGCTGGGACTTGCGGCTCGGTGGCGTCATAATTGTTGCTTCCTAGTACACAGAAATAAACTGGGTAGAGGTTTGCGTACCACTAAAAAAATAAGCAATAACAAATAAATATCTAAATGTTTTTGTAAAAAGGCGCCTTACAGTTTGAATTAAATTGTATAGGATTGTATAAGATAGAAAAAGATTTCCAGGGTAAATAAAGTGTCTTCTACTAGGACTAGGACTAAAGTGTCTTCGGCTAGGACTATGGGACAAATAGAGCAACGAAATATGGTTTATTTTCTTTTAGTCTCTTTCTATTCATGATCGTGGAACATTTGCGGACTCAAATTGTCACACACTCATTACATAATTGAGCTGTGGTTGCACATGTGCAGGCCATTAACTGATTCCCACAACTGGACGACTGGCTGGTCAAGTGTGCAAATTAAGCCACTCGGCGAGTGGTTTTTAGAGCTTGTGCTGAGGTGTCCTGGATTCTGGCCATATGTGCCGCCAGCACGTAACTTAATTATTAAGTTCCGCTGGCCTTGGTGGTTACACTTGGATGACGCCTAGAACGCAGCGAGGTTCTCAATCCTTGGTCATGCAAACCGACTAGCGTTTCCAGCACTTTTGGGTTGGGTTTCCTGGGGATGGGGATGGGAATAGGGATGGGGATGGGGATGGGGATGGGGATGGGGATGGGGATGTCCGTGGCACGGGCGGGAGTGGCGACTTTATTTGGGTCACGAGTCCTTTAAGTTTGTTTACCGCATTGGCGGATGGACGAACGGACAGGGATAAGCGAGGCCCTCTTCCACTCTGTGATTGTCCAGGGTTTTTATAGAAGCCTGGTCGCCTAGCTGCAGCAATCCGCCCCCAAGACCGGTTGCACAATGTTCGGGTGTGGGTGTGGTTGTGGGTGCCAGGTCATATAAGTAAAGTTCCGTTTATGAGTCGCATTTGCTGTTATGAATAAACTTGATAGCCCCCGCCGACATCATGTTTGACTTTTATATAAAAGTTGAGTAAGTTTTGAGCCAGGGGAAGAGGCATGTCCTTTGGTTAAATAATACTCCCTGGTCGGACACCTCATAGCACCGTATTGAGTTTGGGTCACCTCTTACACAGACAGTCTATCTCCAGGTCTCGAGATTGCTTTCGGTTGTTCGGCTATATTCTGGAACTGAAATAGGTAGAAAATCGCCTTGTATACATTGAAATTTCTCTGTTTTATAATTTATTTATTTCATGGTGTCATGGTGTCGTGAAAAAAATAATCATTTGTCATGTACATATGCCATCAAGTTTTTACTTGGTAATAAAAAGTAAATTACGAGTAACCATGATTTTACGATGTAGCCTCTAATGCAATAACGCCCCCCGGGGAGTGAAATATGAACTGATGTAATAAATATATTCATGATTTCGAATACATTCACTGCATACATAGTTCTGCCCACCATGCAATAGACATGTGAAGTGGCTTCCATACAGTATACATCTTACATTTCTGTACTAGTGGCCACTGAAGTGGAGTAAACTTATCGATTCCGGTGGGAAAGGCAATGGCGGTCCCTCATGCGGCGAAGACATAAGAATGTTTGGGGACTCTGCCGTCATGTAATCGAAAGCGTGTAGACCGCAATTCCTTACACATTAAATACTGGTGGCCTACGGCACAGGCCGCCAGGTCGACCCACCTTGCCAGGCGGCGGTTGGGATTGGCCATGGGGATGTGGCTAGGTGGTTCGGTGGTTAGGTGGTTCGGTCGACGACTGGCGTCACACCACAAGAATGCGACTGTCTGCCCCAGTATTTGTCTGTGACTGGGTTCGCTGTGGTCATTGCCAAACTCATTTCCTTGTACTTGAACGCAATTATTTCCCATTTGGTCTTGGCAACAAGCAGCCGGGCCATTTGGCGCACTCTGAAATTTTGATGAGCAACTAAAAACTCAAATATGGAAAAGTTACCAAGCGATGGCCAATGCCATTAATTACCAATTGATATCTCCTGTCATAGAACGTTCGAACTGGTCACGACCGAATATTGTCTTGTGGTTCTTTTGAAATTTTGTTTGGCTAATGCGAAAGTAAACCTGGATATATTTCACGGCAAATAGTTCAAACGTATACAGAAATATACATATCGTATATATAGGAGTTGAGTTTAGTTACTATTACATCGATTGATATATTTTAACGTGTTTAGCTGCAATGTAGTTAAATCACGGGGAAATACCATCGATTACCAACTGTAATTATTGGGCACTCAAATACGAAGGAACCCAATTGTGATTTACTGGCCGAAGTGGTTTTTAATCAACCTCTTTCCCGGTTCTTTTGAAAAGACCTCACCAAGGCCCATCGATAGCTAGGTGCCAACTGGTCAATATCCACCCCGTATCGCGTAATTTCCCCATGCCTTTGTCGCCTACTGTACCCTGCTGGTTGTCCGTGCATTGTATTCGATATTCATTCATACGATTAATTTGTTTGGAAATTTGAGCTCCAGCCGACTGACAGCGAATCGTTCGTTTGTTTCGGGCCCGCTGTCAATTTCGGTTTGTCGATGTTGGCGCTTATTTATGCAATTGCTATGGGGCTTGGCCCAGTCGGTCTCCCGATGTCCGGTGCTCTGTGTCCAGTGGCCGCATGGAAGTGGCGAACAGCCCACTGAATTCTAGCTGAGTCGTCAATGTTAATGACATTGAAATACTGAAAAACGCCGGCTCTCTGTTTATTGTCTCTGGTCGTACTTACTGCACCCGCCGTAAGCGTTCGATTATCTGCGTGCCAGTTTAGATTGCATAAGCCCTGTCCCCAATCTCTCATTTCATACCCATTCCCATTTCCTGATCCCCCTTTCATCCAGTTCCGCAGAGCCACTATGGCCCCACTTTTGCAATTGAGGAAAGCAATCAAATCTTAATCGCGTGAGATACAATCGGTACTGATTATTGGGGTTGTTCTAAATATCTTTCTATATTTTATAATGTTGGACAGCATTTTCACAGAACGGAAAATGAGGCTAATATTGAAATATTGACTATTGCAATTTATGCCATTTTGTGGATGTCATCTCATTACTTATTTTGCTTTCCCCCAGGTCAGCTGCTGCTGTTCTACACAATCTTCTACATCGTTCTGGCCGCCCTCTTCACCATCTGCATGCAGGGTCTTCTGGCCACCATCAGCGATACGGAACCCAAGTGGAAGCTGCACGACTCGCTGATAGGCACCAATCCCGGCCTGGGATTCCGTCCCTTGAGCGAGCAGACCGAGCGAGGATCGGTTATCGCCTTCGATGGCAAGAAGCCGGCCGAGAGCGATTACTGGATCGGGCTGACTGATGACTTCCTCCGGGGTGAGCTAATTTGAATTGAGTGGAATGGAGGAGGGATGTATATCAACTGGAACTTGTCACTTTGCAGAATACAACCACACCGAGGGACGGGATATGAAGCACTGCGGCTTCGGTCAGGTCCTCGATCGCACGGATGTGTGTGTAGTGAATACGGATCTGTTTGGCGGCTGCTCGAAGGCCAATAACTACGGCTACAAGACGAACCAGCCCTGCATATTCCTGAAGCTGAATAAGATCTTTGGCTGGATCCCGGATGTGTACGACGAGGGGGAGAAGAGCATGCCGGATGATCTGAAGAAGGTGATCAATGAGACGAAAAAGGAGGAGGTGAGTAGGATGCCTGTTTTGTACCTCAATCTGTACTCAAGTGCTGCCTTCCTGTACATCCCGTACTCCAGCGGCAGCAAGTCTGGGTGAGCTGCAACGGTCACTTGGGCAAGGACAAGGAGCACTTCCAGAACATTCGCTACTTCCCCAGCCAAGGGTTCCCCAGCTACTATTACCCGTTCCTGAACCAGCCGGGCTACCTCAGTCCCCTGGTGGCCGTGCAGTTCAACTCGCCGCCCAATGGTCAAATGCTGGACGTCGAGTGCCGTGCCTGGGCCAAGAACATCCGCTACAGCGGCAGTGCCCGCGATCGCCAGGGCTCAGTGACCTTCCAGATCCTCCTGGACTAAGTGCGGCGACTGGGAAGCCTGTCGCCAGCTTGTGATCGCAGCAACAAATACTAGCCGTATTCTGGGCGAGGATATGGCAACCGCGTCGGAGACCAACTACCACCTACCTTACTGAAAGAGATATACACATATGCAGATATAGACATACATATATGGAATGAGCTAGCGACCTTAGGTTTTCAAGTGTATTGTATATATTTATACGAAGGAAAGATCCGACCGTCAATTGAACTCTGAACATCTGGCCTGATATAAAAATAGAAAGTCGAAAATCTTGAAATTAAAGTTCAAATCGTACACACGCAATTGTTGTTATAGCTTTTAGCTTGTCTATTGCTATCAGTTATTATTATTAATATTTATCATATTATTTCATTATGAATTCTTGTAATTACGATCATTATTTTCTGTCAGTTGTATTTAGTTTTAATTTATAAATGTTGAAACATGCCCGAAAATTCTTTGTTTGCCGCACATCGCCTAGGCTTGTTCAATTTGTACAAAGAAGTAACTAAATAAATTATAATTGTTAAACGTATGCAAACCATGGAAAACGAAACATTTTGATCTAAGCTGAATGTCGATTATTTTTTTCGAACTGGAAAGTATTCAAGAACCTCTAAGTAGTGCAATTTTTAAAGCAACAACCGCAGTAACTAAGAAATTCCAGTCATATTTATGCGACTAACAAATCAATTTTTTTATTTATTTTAAACACATTTCATTCACACAAACAAATAAAAAGAAGTTAAGCGAATAATGTTTTTGCGTTTTATCATTTTAATAAAGAACAGAGAATATAAGAACCCACATTGTGTTTTCATTGCCTATAACTATACAGTGAAAAAAACAATGACGTGCTTTTAGGCGAGCCAAAGAAAAACTATTTAAAAAATCAAGAATTCGATATTTTTGAGTTTCGTTACTTTTATTAATTTGAATGTATTAAACAATTGCGAAATATTATCTCTTTCGTTATAAACATAGTTATAGTATAGTTATTGATCATGATTTGTAACAATTTAAACTGCGATATTTTAACTATATGCACTGCATAATTGCATAATATTTAGGTCTATATAAAGTAATCACAAAATATTATTATCACAATTTATGGATACACATACAGTATTGTTTTAAGTGCCCTCTTATCTTTCGCAGTACTGATGTTCTTGTAACTGGCTTTGATTCAAAACTTATTTTTGATATGCGATTCCAATTTGTTTAACTATGATGAAAATTGAACGATGACGTCTCTAAGAATCCCAATTTATTGACAACAATATATTATATTCGTTTTCATAGGTGTACAAAATACAAGCATTCCCAAATTCAAACATTAAATTTCAGTGTGATTTTGGAACTTACAAGCCCAGTTACAAGAATGCCTATCGCATTAATATCTTTACGGTTACACCAACGCGAGTAAAAACACCAGATTTCAGTTAAAACTTCATTGATCTGCTACTTTAGTTAGGATTAGTTTGGAGGTGTCGGCTGACTTAAGACAAAAGTTTAGCATTAGTTGAGACGAAGATTGAAACTCGATTTTGTTAGGTACTTTTACAATTGTTACTGCTGTGAACGATAGAAACAAAGAGTTAAAACATTTATTTCTAAATGGCAGCTTTTGAATCACCTCAGGCGTGTCGAGCTCCCCAAAGTTGCGTCTCATGGTACATTCGATATATATTGTCTCTGATAAGTTTGGCTTTATCTGGGTGAAATGCAATTTCATTAGCTACTGGAATACCTTAGACTACGTGAGATGCGTTTACCCTTGGATAGGTTGTTTGCCACCACGTTCTTTTTCAGGAAGTCAAGGCACAATTCCTGGGATGTTCCCAGTGAGTGCATATTGCAGGTCAATGCCCTGTAGGTAAATATGTGTTTCGTAATAAATCTAAATATTTTAACATTTTCACTTCTTCAAAAGTACTACTCACCCAAGCTGCCGAAATGCAATGTCCTCCTGGTCCCTGACCGAATGCGCCTGGGTGAGACTGGTCTTGCTGGGCCGCCGGTTGGCCGGAACGGAGCCAGTGGAGGCAGGGGCCGCCGGAGTGCCCGATTGTGGTGCCTGATGCGAGGAGCTGGAGGACGAGTCGCCGCCCTGCTTGCGCTTCGACTTGGAGGCAGGCGCATCTGTTGTTCCCGTGCCTGATCCTGCTCCTGCTCCTGCTACTGCTGCTGCTCCGCCGGCTGCCTGCCGCTGCTGCTGCTTCTGCTGGCGGCGCTTTTGGCGCCTCAACTGGCTCTGACCCCGGTGCTCCCGTTCCGCCTGCATGGCGTCGTGGAAGATGGCGTTCCAGAAGCGCGCCTGCTGCCAGATGGGCTGTTGGCGCAGCGAGGAGAAGAGGTACTCGCGATAGGGATCGCAGCCGGGCACCTCGACCTCATGGTAGAAGAGGAAACACAGGTTCATCAGTACCGCAGCCGGGCCATAATCCTCGCACTCGCTGCACTCAAACAGGGCCAAGGCAAAGTACTGGGCCAGACTGCCGAACGTGACGGAGTCGAGACGCTTGGACTTGTGGCGCTGCTCGGTGAGGAAGCGGGTGAACCACAGGCGACCGATCTCCAGACGCAGCAATACCCCAAACTCAGACTTCAGCTCCAGATCAACGGCAGCCGGCGATCCGCCAAACAGCAGAGCAGTAAAGTGCTTCATAAACTCCTTGACGGGCTCCTCGCCCGCTCGGCAATCCAGGCTGATGGAGGAGGCCCACGAGGGCACCGAGTTCTGCGACTCCGATCGGATGAAGTGCCGCCAGTCGGTGGACTCCATGCTGGGGCTGGCCAACAGCTGATCCGGCTCATCGCGCAGGCTGGTCAGAGTGCTGCTGTTGGAGGCGCGACTGCGCGACGGCAAGCGCATCGAGTTGCTTCCGCCCGCCCACTGCTGCCGTCCAGCGGATGCCGCTGCTGCCTCCGTCGGCGGCTGGACATCTATGTGCGGCGGCAGGGTGTCGCCCACCTCAGCAATCCTCTGCACATCCCGCTGCATGTCCATCTCGCTGCGACGGGCTCCTGCGATGGCCCTGGCCCTCTCATATCCGCCGGAGTGACGCGACTCTATGGAATCCGAGCGGGTGGTGCTGCTCACGTCGTGGGACCGATTGGCCATGTGCTCGGGCAGGGATATAGAGCTGCTGTCGTCGCTGCTGCTGGAGCTGCTCGAGGAGCCGGAGCTGGAGCGCAGTGGTCCACCCAGTTTGCTGGCCGCGTGACGCCCACGCGATGGCTCCAGACGTGGCCCTAAAAGAAACAATATATATACGATTCATTCTAGTGGGGTCGTGGGTTACTGCAACCACTTACGTGGTGCCAAATTGGGCTGGCGATAGCGGCCTGAGATGATCTCCTCGTGAGCTCGGCGCGCCTTCACACGTCGTCCTTCGAAGTCGATCTTGGTGTAATCAATGGTCTCGTCAACTGCGGAGTAAAAGCGTATTATATTCCACTCGTACTTGGTACTTGGCACTTTGCAGTACTCACACTTGGGTATGTCCTCGTCGTCATCGCAGTAATCAGAATCGCTGGAACTGCTGCTCAGGGTCAGCTGCACGTAAACAAAGTAAAAGGCACATTTCAAAAGAAAGTCGATCATATGCGGTGTGGAATTGTGCTTTGGAGATGTTTGTATGTATTTTGCGCCTAATTGGCTCATTATTTTGACGTATATCTGCAGGAAGTATTTTAAACAGGTTTCTATTGAAAGTACAGCTTATAGTTCTGGAACTTCAACAAGTGGGTCGCACCGTACACTTAGAGGCATATTAAAATCACTTCAAAAAGCTGCATTGATTACTTAACCCATCGCTCTGACTGATTGATAATCCAAGGCAAAAACGCTTAAGAAATATCGCGAAGGCCGCACTCCTTCGTTCTTCTTGGCTGCTGCAAACATAATTAATTTCAATCAAGGACGAGGCTGCCGAGCCCAAAGCGAGAGAAAGTCAAGTACAAGCGGAGCAGCAGAGAATGCACCCCCCTTTCGACCCATTCCAGTCCCATCCGCAGCCGGCACATGCCCCAAGCGCAGGCTGGGATTGGGCCACCCACTGAAGGTCAACCGAGTGCAGCAGCAAAGCGGAAACAGCAAGAACAAACACAACAGCACACAAAAGCATCAAAGTGTCAGTTGCTTCTGCTTTCGCAGCATAGACAGAACCCGCCCACAGTCCGCTCCCCCTCCCCCTCCCCCTCCCCCAAGCACCTCTTGTCGCGTTCATTACCAAGGCTGCCCCAACTGAGCGCTAGAGGTGTGCGTGACCCACTGTCAGGCGTGAGTCCTTGGAATATATACACAAATACAACATTGTAAGGGAACGAAAATAGAGCCCAAAATAATGGCACATTTTCCCACTGCGAAATATATTTCTCCAGAACTGAAAAAAGAATCACAACTGACCAGTTCAGTATTCAATTAAAGAGGTCACAAGGGCGTCCTTCGATATTAACTCTGTAATTTCCTAACCTCATAAAATCTAGTATAGCAGTAGTATTCCTAGTATTCCTAGTATAACTAGTATTCCTTTGCAGCTTACAGATGCAGCTCAAAAGATACTGTATCTTTCACGCTACTCACGCTGCCAGCGCTAGCTGCAGCCGTACCTTGTTCGATATTCCGTTGAGCAGCTCGTTGCTGTTGCCCAGCACGGTGAGGAACTTGGACTTGAGGGCTCCGATGCTGGGCGTCCGTTCCATGAACAGCTTGATCTTCGATCGCTCGCCGGCGAATCCGGCCGGCGGTGTTCCCGTGCCAGGCATTGCGCCCGGAGTGGGTGGCTGCGGCTTGGCGTCCACCATGTCGATGGGGTTCCTGGCCCGAATCCGCTGGAAGTACGGTGTACGATGGCTCAATGGACCTGCTGTGTGGCTAAGTGGGAGCGGCCGTGGAGCGTTGCAACTGCTGATGTTTCTGGTATCGATTTTTCAGACGCCTGCATGTCATACACACTGGGTGAAGGTGAACTTTGCACTGCAGAATTTTTGGCGCACTTCGTGTGCTTTGCAGGCGAAAAGGCAGGCTTGTGTCCTTACACTTTAAATTCGTCGCCTTTCACTACGAGTTTTCTTTGTAATATGATGCTGGGCTCTTCGGCAACTGCCAATTTATGCAACTGTTTGTTTTTGTTAAACAAACACTTGCAGCTTCTTTTGGTTTGAATATATACCTGATTGGGTCGCAGGTCTGGGACTCCTACGCTAGTATTGGGCAAAGTAATGTCAGGATAAATGTTAAATTATAAAGGCACTTCTGTATCGCTTTGAATTTTGCACGTACTGCTTGAACGCCCAACTGGGATACTACTAGTACAATCTCAATTCCCCTGGCCCACAAATACACACTCACACACACTAGCGCACGCACACGCCCCTTTTGTACACGCAATACGATGGCGGCAAGCCAACGGTAAATATTTTCCGCTGAGTTTTCCACTCGCGTCCTTCGCCTGCAGCGAACATTGCGCGAATGCAGCCGGAAAATGCTGGCCAAAACGCAGGTTTCGTTAACATTTGACGGGCTTTGCGTTCGCAGCTGTTATCGATTGTATGGAAATCTACATAATATCTACATAGGATTTTCTTCGGGAAAAGCTCGTTCGGAAAATGGCGCGCGAATTCTACACCAGCGTTCTTGGGAAAGCTTACCGCGTGCTTTGCAGGGGCCAAGGAAGAGAACCCGGCATTTTAACTTGTTTACATACAGCTGGCAGTCAGCTGATCCTGAAAACGTCGGCTTGCGTCAAACGCGGCAAGGTCACTGCGTGGGCGGTCCCCCATTTTGTGGGTGGGGACATGGCTTCCCCAACGAGAATGTGCGTGCTCGCAATTGTCGAACTTTGACTCTGTCGCAGCCAATTTATTATGCATTGCATTTATTTTTAGACCAGCTAGCTCGAAAACCGAAAATGGACCCACCCACGGAGGCCTCAATTCCATAATTCCCATAATTGCCATACCATCTCATCCATCCACCGATTTGCCGCTCGATTTTCACCTCCGGCAGGCAGCAGGTGGCCCATGCCGATACTTTTATTGCTGATACCATTGTTCGATCTGATGTTCTTCTTTATTGTTTGCACTAAATGTGCAGAATTTGCTCAAGGCTGGCCCGCGGGAGATCTCTCCAGATACTTGTTTGTCGTAAATCATAATTAAAGCAGGCGTGTGTGCCGATGAACGAGGCGCCACGGGCTTTGGGTCAAATAAAAAAGTGAATGCGCAAATATTTATGTTATCTGAAATTCCATTGAACTTGAACTTTCCCAGTTCGAAGACTTTTCAGTCCCAGGACAACGATTCCACAGGCATTTATAGTAAAAATGTTAGCAAAAGACAAATTTCACAGTTGCCATATTTTCATTCATCAAAAAGAACCGCATTCAAGAAGCGCAACAAGTAATCACTTCCGAATAACCGAGCAGCCGTATGTTCTGCCGAATGTTTAACAACAAATAGCTGAGAATGATATACTTGTGTATCCGAGAATTATTGATATTCACACACGCGACGGCGTCTCGCAGTCAAAATGTTCTTTGCCGCTCGAAAACGATGTACGAGTATTTATAAAACAACGCGAAAATGCTGAAAATAGGAAAGAGATGCGACTGGCCAGGGAGGAGACCAGACCAGACCAGACCAGAGGAGCACATAGATCTGCGTTGACTTCCTCCTACTCGGGCGACGACTGGGGACCGCGGACTGCAGTAAAAGTGCTGTTTAGAATCTGATTGAGATTTCAGTTCGCTGGGAGACGATCGTCGAACGAGACCGTAGCTGAATTTTCATGTCGCGCTGTGGCTAGACATCAGGAAAATATATATATCCCTATATATGTATATTCATGTGCTACCAGCTGGCAGTGGCAGTTTTGAGTGCGGCAAGTCGCGTCAAGTGAAATCGAATTATGTAAGTGATTGCCCGTTCATGGCCGGTCGATCCAAACCATTCCGCAAGTTCAAAGGCCAATTGAAAATCGCACCGTAATTAAATCGATCTGAAGTGTTCTAAATATATAACTCAGCTAAATTTAAACGCGGAGAACGCTCCATGGGAAAGTTCAAGGCATTGGGCAGGATAAACAATCAAATCGCCAAATCAAGTATACAAAATAAAATGAGTTTTTTAAGCTAATTTGCCAATTTGAAATAATGAAAAACTGGCACTTAACAAAATACGCAAATATAGGCAAGCCAAAGAAATGTTTAAAAATAGTTCCCACCGTTCTCCCATAAAAATAAAACTTTTTCCCTCGCCGCGTGAGACTGTGTCTGTGAGTCAGCATTGCGTTTGCCTCTTGCCACTTGCCACTCGAAGTCGCCGCACGGAGGAGGCGGATCTTCTGGCTGGGATGGAGGTGGGACCGGCCCACGCCCCTCCCACCACTGCAGGCGGCGTTCATAAATATTGCTGTGTTGCTATTGTGACACAAATTCGGCCCAAATGTATGGAGTAACTGCGCAGGTTTCAAAAATAGCGCAACAGACACGGGAGTGCAGCCCAGGGAACACGTTGCGTATGCGCGATGGGGGAGCACATGTGGCATGGTTTTTGCTTCTCGACTCCGAAAATTATGGACACATTTCATGGCCCGTTACGCACGTAACTAGTGCGTGCAAATTGTGCCACAGTGGTCGACTAATATGGTTCCAATGAAATTCAGAGGATAAAAAACAAACTTTATACAACGGAAAGCGTATCAAAGTATTCCCAACATAAACTGTTGTTTGCGGGACTTGGACATTTGGGCTTATACATATATGGGGCAGAAAGACTTACAGAAGCTGCAGTATCGACAGAACTAGAAGTTCTAATCATAGTATAGGCATAAAATGATTTATTTTTTGATTTATCATTACAACTATTTCTAAAGCGGAAAAAGTGTAGGGAATACATGAACACAAGGCATAGTTATATCTATCGCTGCTATCTTTTGAACAATCTTAACTCAAAAGTATACGCAAGAGATAACTAATTTCTTGGAAATACAGATACACATGTCGTAGGCCACGGAGAAACAAGATATTGAGTTGAAAAGTCTGAAAACTTGGACGCAAATAATAAAGCAAACTTGACAAATATACGCAGATCAATATTAGAAATGTTGTTTAGGCCATGATTTAATTCTTTGGCAGCATTTTTGATTTGGCCACCTGCGTCATTACAAAATACATATTCGCTCGGCATTTAGTCAATTTCATTACTCTCTCTGTTAGTTTTTCGCTCGCTTTTATTTTCGAGCATTTACATGAAATTCTCTTCTGTTCGAAACTTTTGAAAACTATTCTCAAATCCGAAATCTTCTCCCTCATCCAATCTCCTTGCAATTTCTTGGCATCTCAGCCACTTAGCCGCGTTGACAGAGTGAGTCGATTGAGTCACAAAACAGCACTTCCCTCTTTCGGATGATTTCATAAATAAACAAGCCCGAAAATGTTTTGCCAAAATATATACATTTTTCTTTTTTTCTATGCACCGAAAGATATTTTAGACTACATTTAGCAGTTTTACTCGCGATCGAACTCTGGCAGCGTTTAGTTTTGTGCAAGGCATTCACGAAACTGCATTTTGGTTGGCTCCGTGGGCTCCGGAATTTGGGTGAGCCGGCTAAAAATATGCATTCATAATTCGCATTTTCTGGCACTTTGCTTAATTGAATTTGAAGTCGTTTGAAGTGGCTGCGGATGGGCGAAAATATAGCACGGGCCATTGGTGATCTATAAATAAAAATAATAATACTATTTTGTTGCTGACGTCCTTAGATGAAATAGGAACCCAATCAAGCTTAGAGAGACGATTAAGTGACGGCAAAACCCAGACGAAAAATCGACCAAGATGACGACCCACCAGTTGCTAAACAAGAATGTTCGCACCATGCCCTCCTGGGTGGTAAGCCAATACCCAGTGCACCAGCCCATATCCAATGGCACTAATTACCCATTTCAGACGGAGGCAAATGACCGCATTGGGCCTAAACCACCACCCACTCCACCAAACGGGGTGGCTGGCGGTCTTCCCAAGGCGCCTGCCCTGCCGCCCAAGGCGAAGAGTACGCCCGAACCGGACTACGAGATCATCGAGTTCTCCAGTCAGCAGTACTCCAACGAACCGATGAAGACCACACTGATCAGAACCAAGACGCCAGGTGGGCAACCATTTGTATATTACACGTGTTTGAAATATTACCAGAATAATTATATCATTCCTTGCAGACAACAAGCTGAAGTGCACCTTGTGTGGTTCCCAGAATCCCTGGGTAACCTGTGCCGAGTGCGCGGGCCAGATCTTTTGCGCCTCCTGCGACGACATGTTCCACAAGCATCCCAAACGCAAGCAGCACGTGCGAAAGGCAAGTACTCCCGATCCAGCATGAAGGTGAAATTGATAACTTGGACTTGCAGGCAGTGGAGCAGGGCACACCGCCGATTCCGCCGAAGGCACAGGCCGGTGGTGGGGCACCACCACCAGTGGCGCCTCCACGACGCACCAAGCGAGGCCTGTTGACACCGTTTCTGGGCCGCAAGGATCAGGTACGCCACTGCACGATCTCCTAGACCCGTAAGAAAGACCCGAGAAAAGCCCCTTCATGGGCTACTCGTAGAACCAAGTTTGTAAACTTCAATTTGAATGCTTCAATAAAAGAGTCCTTGAAACCAGAACGCCCGCCCAAAATTTAGAACCAACGAACCAGACATCTCAATAGTTACCCGAATACCCATACGAAATGGCACCCAACCCGACTCTTTTCCAGATGCTGCCGCCGCCCTCGCCCACGCCCTCGCACAAGTCGCTGGGCGGCTGGCGGGGATCGCTCGGGGGCGGGGCCACGCCCCCAGTGCCTCCAGTAGCCACCAGCTCAGTCAGCCAGATGAACAACCGACCACTGCCAGATCCACCGCGCAGCGAGGGCGGGGGATCTTCTAGGTCGGGCACCCCCAAGTCCGTGTTCGACACCATCCAGCGTCCGCCGTCGGTGCAGCTGGAGAAGATCAAGAGCAAGGCCAGCGCCACTTTGGACCGCATGGCCATACTGCAGCAGCGGTACCGCCAGCAGAAGGCTCGCCAGGATCTGAGCGCCAACAGCGAACAGGTGAGTGAGTCGTTGACCCCGTATTCCCCTCATCACTGAGTGTATCGTATTGTCTTTGCTCGGAGAAAATTGTGTCAAGGATCACTTAGCACTGCAGGATATTATCCTTGACACCATTTGATCCGAGCACCTCGAATCTCGTCTCGTCATGTGTCGTTTCTCCCTTTCCTCTCTCTTTCTTTCTCCGTTTCTCGTTGGTCATTTCCCAACCGCAGCATTTGTCGAATGGAGCCGGCTTCGAGCACTGGTCACACATTTCACCATCGCCCTCGCATTTTCGTTCCGGCAGCATGTCATCTGGTCTGAACTCATCCCATTTCGATCTCTCGGATGACTCACAATTTCACAATTCCTTGCTGCTCCAACAACGACAGGCGGCCGGCGCCCAGCGGCGGCAGATGAGCACCTCGGTGTTCAACCTCAACTCCAGTCCACGTCGCCCACTGGCCGAAGCCCAGAACGGAAGCGCCTGGCTCGCGAATCAGCGCATCCAGCAGGTGAGTTGGAGCTTCACGATGCCCTAGGAATTAAGATACCATTCCGGTTTCAGGCCCAATCAATGGCGCAGCTGAACTGCGCCGGATGTCAGCAGAGCCAGCAGCATCCCGGCTGGCCACAGCATCCACACCACGCACATCCTCAGCACCAGCACCCCGATCAGTGGTCACAGTTCGGCTCCCAACAGCAGTTCAACAACTCCAATCTGTCCCTCAACGTGGGACCGGGCTACATCTCGCAACAGCATCATCCACACTATCCGCCGCCGGTGTTCATGACCCAGCGCGGAATGATGCCCAATGTGTATCCAGGCGCACCCGGCTATCCCATGATGCATCCAGGTGAAAACCGCAACCTCCCATTTTAACAAATAATTTATTGGCTTCTAAATGCACAGGCGTCATGGGAATGCCGCCTTCAGCTGCCTCCAGAGCTGCATCCCGTTCGCGGTACGCTGCATCACCAACACCCAGTCGCAAGTCGATGTCCTTGCGTCGCAAGCGCAACAGCTACGTGGATGACGAGCTTACGGATGACGAGGACTCCGACCAGGATGACCGCAGATCCCTGGTGTCCAATCGCTCTGGCATGACCAGTGCCTCGCGCTCCCAGCACCACCAAACCCACCACCAGCCCCGCCAAAGGCGTCTGTCCAGTGCCTCCCAGCTCATAGCCAGCGATGAATTGGACGGCGATCAGAGGCACGGGATGAGGCAGCACAAGATGCGAGATCGACGGGGCTCCATTGCCAAGTCCGTGCAGAGCGAGTGGCTGCCGGAGCGACGGGAAAATGAGGGCACCCTTACCAGAAACAAAACAGCAGTGGACGCGGCCAGAACCAGTCGCATTTACTCCGACCTGGAGTCCGAGGGATCGGGTGCTCGGGCCCTGGTCCAAGCCAAGATCCAGCAGAAGCTCCAAGAAGCCGATCAGCACAAGTCCTCAAAGAAGGCTGAGCAGAAACGCAAGCCGGAGATGAAGGACGAGAACACACAGGCTGCAGCGGTGGTGCAAAAAGTGGTGACACCAGCCCATGAGGAGAGTGCCTCGGAATACGAGGAAGTGGTCGAAGAGGTAACCGCCTCGGAGAGTGAGGCTGAGGCTGAAACAGCACCCGATCCCCAGGCAGTTCCGGACGAGATTGGAGCTGATGATCTCGGTCCACCACCTTCCACCCCAGACCACGAATGGGAGTGCGAGTTCTGCACGTTCGTGAACGAGCCCAACATTAAGATCTGCTCCATATGCTGCAAAACGCCCAGCAGACCTCCAGTGCCGCCCAACAAGGCCAAGAAGGTTGAGGAAAAACCACAGCCGCCAGCTGAAAAGTCAAGTAATATCAAAGCGTCCTCCAAGCCGGAAGCCAGGCAATCGCAAAAGCCTATTACAAAGAGCCAACCACCCAGTCAGAAACCCGTTGCTGCGTCTGCGAAGACCACTCATACCACCTCCACATCTAGCTCCAAGTCGCCAACTGTAAACTCCAAGAGCACTTCCAGTATTCCCGTCAAGACACCATCGAAGTCCACACTGAAAACTGCGTCGGAAAACGAGTCCGATAACTCGCTGGCCAAGAGTCTTCTGCACAAAGGTAGGATACAAAAGAGAATCTCATTTTTCGAAGGCACAAAGGCCTAACCCCAATCTCCAAAGACTATACCTAGTTAGTACACTAATAGAGCCATAAACTGTAAGCCTGCAATTAACGCATTTATGGAAACGAAATACAAAACAGAACCACAACCCAAGCCGCATCCCGTTTGTTTGATTTCAATCCGTTGGTGACCCCGACCCCGTTCCCCCAAAGCTAATGCTCTCATCCGTATCGTTCCAGAGTCCGTAGAAAACATTTGGAATACTCTGGATGAGAGCATTCAGGCGCAGGCGGAGCAGGTACTCAAGAAGGCGCAAAAGGTCTCCACGGGCTGTGGTGGGACTCCTCCCAGGGAAACCGCGGCCGTGGAAACGGGAACCTCGCCGCCTCCTCAGAGCATTTCCACGCAGACCTACGACGCCCTGCCCTTCAACTCAAAGCAGGAGGAAATCCCCACCGTTGTTCCTGACCGCTTCACGACTCCAGAACCAAATAAGATGGAGCGGCGTCCGCACTATCGCAGCAACTCGCAGCTGCAGCAAGAGAACGAGCGATATCGGAGTGCCAATGACCTGAGGTATCACGACGGCTTTGGATTGGATCCCTACAGTGCCGGCCTGGTCACCAAAAGACCCAATTTCATAAACGAGCTCCGCATGCTGCAACTTGTAAGTGTTTACGGCCTTATTGGATAGTTGACAACAAATCCTACGTATCCATGTGTTCCAGCAAGTATCTTCACCTTTCGATATGCCCCATGAGACATTCGGAGTCAAGCACGAACCTGCCAGAGACCCGGAAACGGAAATGCACATCATACTGAAAGAACTGGAGCTGTACAAGTTCACGGTGGAGGAACTGGAGGCTGCCCTGAAGTACTGCTCCCCGGACACTCATCCGATTCAGTGGCTGCGCGAGAACTGGCACAAGCTGGTGCAGACCGTGCAGAGTTTGTCCACCAAGTACGGCCAGGAGAGGGGCGAAAACACGATCGGAACCGTGTCCCAAAACGAGGCCCGCGAGGCGCTGCGCAATTCGGGGGGAAATGTGTGGCAGGCGGTGGCGGACTGCATCCAACAAAGGCAGCAGAAGTACAGGAAACTGGCGGCCAAGGGGAACTTCCTGCGGGACGACATCGTGAACGCGCTGACGGCGCACCAAGGTAATGTGGAGCAGGCGCTGGTGGAGCTGAATCGCACGCAACTCAAGCCATTTCTAATGCGCATCTGGGGCTCGCCGAATGGCGTTGAGAATGAGAGTGGCGCGGCCATAGACACCAAGTCGGGTTAGTTTGTAGATCGTCCATCAGCCAATCGCAGTGCCATAATGTCCCATTTTTCTCTCTCCCCCGCATTCATTTGCCAATGCAGATATCCATGACTTTTTGAACACTCACGCTTTGGAATGTCTGCAGCCCCCGCTGGCTGGACAGAGTCCTAGTCCCGCCCAAGCCAATCCATTCGACCAGCCTCGCACGGACGACAGCCCTGTCAAGTCCACCTATGCCACACCTAGTCCCTATCAGCTGGAGGACAGCACCCTGAAGAACCTGGAGATACTCATTGGCAACATGGAGCAGAACCAGGCCAAGCAGAACCAGGAGGTTCTGCGATCCATAGAGACCATGCTGGACACATTCAAGGGCAAGCCGGATCTGGAGTACGAAACGGATCCAGAGATAATGCGTATCCTTACCAAGAGCCCCATTAGCACGTTGAAACCATCGGGGCCTGCGGAGGATAAGTCCGCCGAAGATGTGAAGAACTTTGTCTGGCAACACATTCAGGAAATTGTGCCCAACCTGGTGCAACAGGTCGAGCAAGAGCTCATGGAGAAGCCGGAAGAGGTACCTACTATTGAGGTGGAACAACCAAAGGAGCCTCAGCCTCAGCCTCAACTCGAGCCTGAACCCGAGCCCACACCGAGTGTCGATCCAGCTGTCTTCATCATGGAGGAAGTTATCAAGCCCAATTTAAGGGAAGCAAGCATACGTGAAGAGGTGCAGCCCGGTTTTATCTATGCCACCGAAATAGCCAACTTCAAGTTGGAGTTTGATCGCGGCACCGAGCGATTTCACGAGACGGAATGGGAAAGCAGCGATCTTACGGATGCAGAACGCATTGTGTACAAATGCTATATGGCTCCAGAAGAGGAATCTAACCAGAAAGTAGAACAGGTAGCTGTTGAAAGTGCAGTAACTTTGCTTCCAGCTGCCAAAACGCAAGAAGAATCCGCTCCAGAAATGCCCGGTTTGGCGGCTGGAAATACAGAAGTAGAACCATCAAAACCAGAAACACCAACAAGAAAAGAGACCGTTGATGAGCAACTGGACCAGCCTGGAAACCAAGAAACACCACTAATAACTACAGATGAGATAATTATTGTTGCAGTTCCACAGTCAGCTGAAAGTGATAGACCAAAACCAATAGAAAGTAATTTGCGAATTGGGCAAAATGTGCCAGAAGTACAAGCCCTGTCTGATGACCAGCCAAGCACAAGTAGAGAAGCCAACCGAAGAGGTAGGAGGTCCCAGCAATCAAAAAAAGGAAGATCCCGCGAGCAAAGCCAAAAGCCAACGAATCGCAAAAAGCTACCGAACCATATCGATCAGAAAGAAAGTGAGTCAAAAACAGCAGCCATCACGGATCTGAGTGCTGCTTCAAGTAATATCCAGTCAGTTGTATCTGCATCCGATCCTGAAACTCGCACACCCCATAAAATAATATCTGAAAGGACAGATAGCAAGTCTTTGGACCCACCCCCTTCGAATCAGAGTTTGGGTCATATTATTGAAAACGAGCCTTCCATGGAAAAAATCGATATTGTAACGGAAAGTATACCAACACAAAATGCGGCGGATTTTGTATCGGATCAACCCAATGAAGTTTTAGAAATTCCGGTTATGGGAAACGCGGAGAAAGTATATGAACCCACTGCAAATCCAATCGAAGAAACTACATCCTTACCAAACAGTACGATTATTTCAGAACAAGCTGAAGAGCCTGAAGAACCAGAAAAACCTGACGAAGTATCTGAAACAACAGACGCAATTCAAAACCCTCGAGAAGAATCAAGCATTGAAATTGTCAGCCCTCCAAGCGAGGAACAATCTGAATCTCTAAAAGCACAGGAAGATAATGTAGAAGAAACATTAGCCATCACATCTCCACCAACCACAGACGTAACCCCATTTGCAGAAAACGACATAACGCCTAGTACCTCATCAATATCTAACGAACAGAAGCAAAGTCCTAAGCGTATTTCAAAGATACCCGTAAGAACCCTGAGCAGCAACAGTCTGCGCAGTGAGAGTCGGGCCAGCAATCGGACTCCAACGGTCAGTGATGAGATCGAAAGGGAAGATGCGCCCCTTGCGGAAACAGTCAGTGCTCCAAAACCAGGAGAGCTAACCGACAACAGGGATGTTCCTCTCGTCAGCCAAGCAGACCAGTCCGAAAAGGATACTAGCATTGTCGAAGAATCTGCAGGCAAGAGTCTTGGCTTAGAGCTGGAGGAACATAATCCGCATGCAACTGCTATAGCAGTCACTCCCACAGACTCGGAGGAAGTATTCGAAGATGCTCCTGAATTCAGCGGTAGCGATGGAACGAGACCCCCTGATGAAACCGCTTCCGATGCAGAACTTTATAGTCTTGATAGCGATGAGCAGCGGGCTGAAACCAAATCCCCAGAGAACGAAGTGATCCTGCTGCTGGACGAGGAATCCCAGCTGGAATCTTCGATAGCCAAGTCCGAAAGCAACGCAAGCCTTGATTCCCAGTCAAGTGAATCAGAAACGTCCAAGGTTGTGCTCAAGGAATTTGTTCCCTCTGGAGATCCGGCCAAACAGAACCTCAGCGAACTGGTCGAGGACACTCAACGTTTGATCAAGCAGATGCGCGATGAGATCAGCATGGATGAGTTCGAGTCCACCGATGAGGACGAATACTCCGATGAATACTCCGATGAGTACGACGAAGGAGAAGAAGAGGAGTGGTACGACAGCGAGGGAGAAGAAGAGGGAGACTTCGATGGGGAGGAGGGCAATACCTATAACGAGCACGCATCTTACATCGAGGAGGCCTCCACTGGCGACGAAGGCACCGAAATTGAGGACATAATGGAGGAGGACGAGGATCAGGCTAATGAGGACGAGCCGCAGCCCGCACAAATACCACTAGACATTGAACCAGTCATATCGCCTGCTCTATCAGTCACGCCCACCAACCAAGAAACTGAAACGATCGCACCCACTGAGGTTGTTTCCTCCACAGGAACGAGCCTGGAGGCAGAGTTGCTGAATCCTGAAGGGGGATCCACTTTGCCCTCACAGATTGTTCAGGAGGATATCAAGGTGGAAGCTCTTCCCATTCAGTCACCTCCCATCATAGCTGACTCGGAAACTCGACCTGCAGAGCAACCAGTTGAGCTGGTGCTAGAAATCCCTTCAGAAGCTGTGCATCCTGCCGTTGAATCTGATGGCCTTGAAGAAGCCACTGCCCTGCCGATAACACCTGCACCACCCATTGCTGGTTCCGAATCGCGACCTGTGGAGCCGCCTGTCGAAACAGTACTGGAAGAACCCAAAAAGGTAACCCCGAGCATTAAAAACAAGACTGCACACAGTGGGACTGCCGCCAAAGGTGCCTCCACGTCAAGTACGACTAAAACAAACAAGTCCACAGTCAGTAAGATTCCCAAGCCCACCAATGAACCCACTAACAAATCGAATAGCGTACCCTTGAACAAGAAGGTTCCGCTGCGCTCCAAGTCCTTCTCGGCTCCCATGGGCATTTCGTCCGTGCCGCTCAAGAGCAGTCCCATTACCAAGAAGTCCATCAACGACGCCATCAGCAGGTTTAACTCCAATCAGGCCGATGGTCCCAGCACCAGTGGAGCAGCGGCGGCGGCTGCAGCGGCATTGTTGAAGCCTCGATCCCAGCCCAGAATCCCCAAGAAGAAGTACCACGAGACCTGCTTCTCTGACGACGACTACGAGACCTCGGCCACGGAGGAGGAGCCGGAGGAGCCCAACATGGCCGAACCCCAGAAAGCAGAGCAGCTGAAGCGTAAGATGAGTATGCCCGTTTTCCGGGCATATCCTAGTGTTCAAGAGCCGGTTATCGAGGACCCAGCGGTGTGTACCAGCCGAGACTCAGCCAAGCCAGTTCTATAATCATCTTGGAACGTTTGCCTGCTCATTTCAGATCCTTGCCCGCAAGTACGTCGAGCAGGAGCTGGTGACCAATATCGCTGAGGCCCAGATAGCCGCCACCTTGGTGAGCATGAAGTTCTCGGAGGACGTGGCCTTGTGGGCGGCCCGGGAGTGCTCAGATCTGGACCAGGCCATTTCCATGCTCCAGCAGGAATGCGAGCTCTGCATGAACAGCTATCCCATGAATCAGATGGTGTCCATGCTCAAGTGTCTTCACAAGTGCTGCAAGCAGTGTGCCAAGAGCTACTTTACAGTTCAGGTGAGTGGCTTAACTGGTGAAAATGCTCCTGAACATCACCTGAACTCCCTTTCCCAGATAACCGATCGCAGTATCAACGATTGCAGTTGCCCGTTCTGCAAGCTGCCCGAGTTGAGCAATGAGGCTCAGCACGAGGATGAGCACCTCGAGTACTTCTCCAACCTGGACATCTTCCTGAAGAGCATCCTGGACAACGACGTGCACGAACTGTTCCAGCGCAAGTTGCGCGACCGATCGCTGCTGCAGGACCCCAACTTCAAGTGGTGCATCCAGTGCTCCTCCGGCTTCTTCGCCCGGCCCAAGCAGAAGCGGCTGATCTGTCCGGACTGTGGATCCGTCACCTGCGCCCAGTGCCGCAAGCCCTGGGAGCGCCAGCACGAGGGCAGCAGCTGCGAGGCTTACCTGGAGTGGAAGCGCGAAAACGACCCCGAGCTGCAGGCCCAGGGTGTCCAGGAGCACTTGGCGCAGAACGGCATCGACTGTCCCAAGTGCAAGTTCCGGTACTCGCTGGCCAGGTATGTTTAGATATAAAGATATAAATATTGGTGAGTGGTTTCTCGGTACAAGCACATTTCTCGACCTGCACAGGGGCGGATGCATGCATTTCACCTGCACCCAGTGCAAATTTGAGTTCTGCTACGGATGCGCCCGGCCCTTCATGATGGGCGCCAAGTGCACGGTGTCCATGTACTGCGCCAAGCTCGGCCTGCATGCCCATCATCCGCGCAACTGCCTGTTCTACCTGAGAGACAAGATCCCCATGCAGCTGCAGTTCCTGCTCAAGGAGCAGAAGGTCAAGTTCGACACGGAGCCCGTACAGCTCAAGGACGAGTCCAGCAGTTCGTCCAAGGCTCGTGCCCAGGCGCGCTGTCCCATCCCGCTGCAAAAGGAGACGCCACAAGGACTTGTCGATACAGTGTGCAACACCGAAGTTCCGGACAAGCACGCTGGCATGTGTCGGTAAGCTAAAGATCGGGGCAGCCCCGATTTAAAAACAGCCCCATTGTAAACACATATATCCCCATAATTCGCTATCATTTAAGCACACACTACGTAGAGTATTTGGCCGGCAAGGTTGCCAAGGCTGGCATCGATCCACTGCCCATCTTCGATTTGACGGACTGCGTCCAGGAGCTTCGGAGGCGGGGCATCGCTCTGCCGGAGCGAGGACCCTGGGATACCGATGAGATCTACAAGAATATGTGCTCCGAGGTGGGTGTTGGCTTTCATCAACTGATGGCTTTATCGATTTCCTTTTAATTCGTTGGCCTTAATCGGTTTTCTGTACGCGGAAATCGAGTTTTCTGCGGCAGGGGTGCGATTTGTTTTTTTTTTTGGCCGGCTGATTCAGCGTCCGCCCCCGTCGATGGATCGACGCGGAAAAAGGCAAATACAACGAAAACGAGATCTTTTAGCCGCTAACTAAATTTGGATGCCTTCTGACGTATTTCACACGCTTCTTAATTGATATTCGTTTTATTATTATTTAATTGTAAACAGTTTGGCGGTCGAATCGATAATGTTTATAAATGTACCTATCTCTCAATCTGGATCTTACTTTTAGGTAATCAAACAGCATATACCACTGAAATCGGCATGAGCAACTGATGTTCTGGAAGCAGACGACTGCTGCAATTCTTCACCAATATCTCTGATTTATGCCGGCACTTTTATAGACATTTTTATACACCTACCCACTCGCGAAACAAACTAGTGCTAGATAGTTCGTTAGACAGTAGACATGGCATGTATACACGTTCATTGTACTCCCACTCATCGTTCATCCATCCAGAAACCCTTCCCATTTTGTTTAGTTACTAAGAGATGGAAACAACAAACCGAAAATCCGCACGTGTAATTGAGTGCATCCAATAAACGGCATCACGTATGTGAAAATCCAATCCAATCGCTTCTAGATTTATTTAAAGCTTTTCAGCCTTTGCCTAACACTGTGCAGATGGTAGCTTTGGAAAGTGGGCGGTTCGAAGACTTTTGCATTCGCCATATCGGCACAACCTGGTCGACCCAGGTAGTCTGTGACCCAGCATTCAAACGGGTCCGACTTCGAGATACTGCGCCAGAAATTCATCGAGAATACCTTGCAATTCGATTTCTTCCTCGATTTGGACTGCAGAAGTCATGGATCCGCTGAAACCGACATGCAGACTCTGAAGATGCTCTTTAAGCGGCACTTGCCATGGACCAGAGGCGATGGGTTGGCTAAATCTGGTAGAGATGCCCACTCCCTCAAAGCGCCTGGTGGTGACGCGCAGGGGTTTGGAATTGCTTGGAAGGTCCCATGAGGACGCGATGGGAATGCCAGCTGGCCATCGATGCCACCGGTAGCCGCATCGCCGGGATTCTACTTCTGCAGCCGAGCTCATCCACGAGGCACCATGGAGGCATGGGAGGCACCACGCACTCCACGAAGATGGCGCTGCTCAACGAGGAGTTCATGAAGATAAGCTCCACCACGGGCTGGTACCGAAGTCCGTATGAACACCACCACAGGAATGCAGGAGCCTTCACTAACATATGAACACTAATGTGAGTCCCATTGGAATGCTGCTGTTAAACAAAGTCAAGAGAATAAACAATCAGCATGATTATCAGCATAATTAGCATGTTCGAATGGAAGGTGCCAATTTGTGGCTCTGAAAATCGTCAACTATAAAATGACTGCATACTTTTGAGCTATTCTGCTTTGTCACAGCGCACGATAGCTGTGAGTATCTGAGAAGTCGTATATCCACAGAGACGTATTATTATATTCGTCCCCTTGACTGCTGGCCATATTGCCAAAAAGGCAAATGCGACCCATAAATTATGTCCCGAGACGAGAAGAAAAGGCACAGCCACATGAGCGAAAAAAGCAATACAGTAAGTGGGGGATATTCAGATTCAGATTCAAATTCAAATTCGTATTCAGACTCACCCACCAAGTTACTCGTGGAGAACTGGGAACGGGATGGGCGGAGAGACGCCAGTGGTGGCATCGTAAAAACCTATTTTCGTAGCGATTGAAATGAATTTATGCGCGCGGCACAACATGTTTTGATACTCGGACAGTTTTACACCAATAACAACTAATTAAATGGCATAAATTGTATATTTATTGATCCATAAACGATCGTCTCGTCCTAGAAGTTTTCTATCTGGCTTTGAACCCAGAACCGAACTGCTGCACTCGCATTTTGACTTTCAGTTTGCGGATTCGGTACGCGTGGCGTGAAAGTATGCAGATCACATGGCATCTGTTATTTATGGGCACCCAATCAGTTTGCTAGGTTGAGTTCCTAAGGTATTCGTACACGTGGACAGCTATCGAACATTATATTCACTTGGGAATCAAGCTAGTTAATTCATTTGTAGAATACTTATTATCAAAATAAAATAATCAAAGGCCATCGGGACATCTATTGAAGCATAGCGAATTATTTAAATTTAAATATGCAAACGATGGACAATGATTAAAACTGAACAATATTAGAATGTTCTACAATCTAAAAAGGTAATAAAGTACCGGGGGAAGATTATCCTTAATATAAGAAAGGCGTGTGCAGAGGAGCGCGATCCTTTCAACAAAAGTGTGACATTCTTTGCATTTTTTATAAGCAGGCGTCTTAAAAAACTTTCACATTCTTCGTCTAGCCGGGCCGGCATTCGGCACGTTCTGCGCTGGGCAATAAAAACATTTAAGTGCTGGCATGCGGCTCGTTAAAAAATATCTTCAACTCGGATGTTTCAGCCAGCAAAGTCAAGGTGAGCGACACTGACCCCAGGCGCTCGACTTAATTACAGGTTAGCCGAAGGCATTAATCAATCACTTGGCCAATCGATCGAATTCGGACCGGATCCGTGCGGCCCCAGATTCACGGCAGCCGGAATGGAACCATTCAACGGCATTACGTGGAGCGCGTAGTGCAAACAATTGGTCCGCCCACCCAGCACACGGCGTAACCTCACCTTTGTTGAATTAACCTTAGCGCGTGTTTATCGGAGACCGAACTGCGGAATGGCAGCGGCGTCACATCCTGTCCACGTCCACAGCAAACAGCGCGAACTGGTCAAACAAACGCTGGACGGGAGCGTATTGTTTTCCACCGGCTCCGCTTCCATGGAAACCGTGACATTCAATGTCGAAGCAAATCATCTGAGTGACCTTCGCGAACAACACAGAGTAATTAGCCAAACAACCAGCGCGATATAAACACCAATAAATATTTTTTGAAATTCGAATAACAGATATTTACCATTAGTTGTAGGTGGCTTCTCCAGAAACGGATCCCCCGATTGTTTTGCAAATCGCACAGGCGGATTTTGTGCAGACTTGTTTGCCAAAATCTTCAGTGAACATGTGGCAGCGAAACTGGATTCCACTAGTTATGTTGAAAAATCGCTTTTAAAATAAACTCAGTTTACGGCACTATATATTTAGCATTTCATAGGTATACATAGGGTATTAACTGGTAAATACATATAAGTATCATTTGACAGTCGTATGCAATTAAATAGTATGTACAAAATCGTTTGACACTCACAAATGGCATCTGCACTTCAGTGGGGGATCATAATAGGGATAGCTACACAAATACACGTATGGTCTATGGTCTATTACAGATATAAAACAAACCTTAGCCATCTAATAATTGGTCGTGAGTGCGCCAAGGGCACTCCTTACATACATATCTCTAAGGTATATTTCTAGATAATTGCAGTAGTTTGTATCTCGACATATAAAGTAAGTAACGCGTAAATCACACATTATAGTACACTTATAGAACTTCTTATAGAAATACATTGAGAGTATTACGAAAATCATCGAGCGGAAGACTAGAAGGGTAACACTACTGGAAAGTTATCCGTTACGTGTTGTTTTTTGTTTTCATACCGGGATTCAATATCCTATAAATTCTTACTACTTAGTTTTACCAAAATTCATCTATATAAAGTTATACTTAATTTCAGTTCTGGGATTTTGCACTCGCAGAACAACAGAAAAAACCGTCGAGAAGTGACTTCTCTGCTCTACAAAAACGATCTTATAGATCCACAAATTCAAACCGTTTCCGTTTAGGACGATGATATACATCCCTGTTCCGCTCTCTAATTGGCCGATATCGTCTTATTTACACAGCAATTTCATAGTTTTTTTTTGTTTCTCAAACATTTTTGGAAAAATCCAGAGGTTATTTATGTATTCCGGTTTCTCTCCCTTTTGTTTGGATTTTCAGGGTGATTTCTTCGCTGGAGATTACTCTTACTCTACTGAAGCAGATCCAGTGCGTGCAGACTCTCCACGTCCGGATCAAAGTTGGCGTCGCAGGTGGAGAGCCAGTCCCACACCCGCCGCCGCACCATCGCCTGGTCGATGGGTATGTCCAGTCCGTAGGTGGACATCATCCGCTTGAAGCGCAGCTTGTTCTCATCCCCGGAGAGACGACCCTCCCGCTGGTTGAGGTAGATGCAGGAGTCCTGGTCGTGGTTGGTGGGCGAGATGAGGGTGGCCGACTTGGAGGTGGAGATGCGGCACTCCACCCAGCGGTCCTTCATGTACTTGGCCACCTCGGTGATCTTGCAGCGGTCCTCGGGATCGTGGCTCAGATACTTCCGGAAGCAGCGCATCAGACGGGGCGAGAAGCGCCGGAAGTTGTCCGGCACCTTGGTGGTCTTGCGCTGCTCGTACTTCATGAAGTTGGCATAGGACTGGTCCTTCACCCAATCGGCGGACTGCCACGGCGGATTGCCGGTGAGGATGTTGTACAGCAGGATGCCGAACTGCCAGGAATCGCTGACGGGCAGGCACTGGAACCGCTCGTTCTTGATCAGCTCCAGCTGCTCCGGCGGCACGCAACTGGTCCACGTGTGCTTCACCTTGTGCACCAGCAGACCCTTCTTCGTGGTGGCCCCGAAGTCGCACAGCTTCACTCGCGTGAAGTCCGGCGTGAAGACCAGTATGTTCTCGATCTTCAGGTCGCGGTGCACCAGGCTCTTGGAGTGCATGAAGCCGAGGGCGGAGCTCAGCTGCTCCGAGATCAGTTTGCAGGCGTTCTCGTGGAGCCCGTTGGGTCCGATGTTGGAGGCCAGATCGCCGTAGGGGGCGTGCTCCATGGCGAACACGTAGTAGTCCATTGTCTGGAAGGCCACCGCGTAGGCGCTCAGTATGTGGTGGTGATGCGACAGCTCGTAGTTGTAGTGGAACTCCTTCTGGAACTCCTTGATCGTGGTCAGCTCGGCGTGCACCGCCTTCAGCACCACCAGCGTGTTGGTGGGTCTGTGCCGGCACAGCAGGATCTTGGCGAAGCAGCCCTCGGCCAGCGTCTTCTCGATGTTGTACTGGTCGGCAAAGGTCATCAGCGGCAGCTCCACGTCCGGAATGAGGTGGATCTGCCCCCCATCGTTCTTGTCCGGCTTCTTGTAGATGCTGCTCCGGCGGCTCACGCTGGCCGCTCCCGGCACCTCCAGCCGCCCGGTGCTGGTGCTCGTCGGCGTCAGCGGTGTGCTGCATCGCTTCTGGTTGTTGTGGTTGGTGCAGGTGCTGCTGTTGTTGTTGCTGTTGCGGCTGTTGGTGCTCCCGCCGTCGCCGAAGGAGCGTCGCAGCCGGAAGGAGAATGAGCGTTTCTCTGCAAGATCAGGAAACAGAAAAAAACTTGTTTAATAATTTAGCAACTTGCTAAATAAACATAATATATTTACTAAACAAGCAAACCCAGTCTAACATCTGCGCGAGTAATGATTCCCTGGTCTAACACCGAAAGACATGGATAAGTAAACACTAAGCTAGGGAACCATTATATCATTACAGCATTATCATTAAAATTCAATGGAATCTCCGCCCATGGCAACACCTTATAGCTATGCACACCTCAACTGGACCAACCACAAATTAAACGCAGTGTTGTGTCA